CCCCAAAACCCCAAAACCCCAAAACCCCAAAACCCCAATGATGAAATTCTTAATTGAAGAATAAAATTAACAAAAATATCAAAGAAGGTTTGCCACTTGAGCAAAACCAATGTCAAAGATAGTGATTTAGAAGAGATAAGACATTTGGTAGGAGAAAAAGAGATAAGGGATTCTGGATTTATTGAGAGTATCACTAATCAACCTTTATTAAAGAGTACGCTTGATTTGGCTACTTCTGAATCTAAAGCACAACCGTTACCACTTAATAGCTATAAAATTGTACCAAAATCCAAAAGACAAAGAAAAGAAAGAGAGAAGCATCAAGAGGTTGACGAAATAGGCCCTAGATATCAAAATAGTCAAGCATGTGGAACAATTCCGAGGAATTAAAATCAACTTAAAAGTGCTGGGATTACTTCTAACATATATGACTCATTAATAAAAATAAAAATAATAAAAGACGCTTGATTGAATCATCTAAACCAAAAAGTGATGAGGAAAAATTAAATCAAGTTAAAAAGAGAATAAACAGAGAAGAGGAAGAAAAATACCCTATCAATAAGATTTGGAACAAAGACAAAAATAATTTGGCCTCCAATTCAGAGAATCAATCCTCTCCTGTATCTATTTACACTTCATCAAGTTTGAAATCTGGAGCTGATGCTTCAAAATTTATAATAAATATCAAAGTAAATCTCAATAATATATTTAACGATGCTTCAATGGAGTTATCATCATACCGAAATAAACTGGTAATCAAATTTAATAGTTATAGAGAATACTAGGGGATAAAGAACAGAAAATCCATAGTTCTAGAAGTAACTCTGCTAGCAGAGTACACTGAAGAATCCAAGGAAGAGGTTATAGAAGAATCTAAACCTGATATACACATGGAAGTCAACAGCCAACCCTCTGATGATGAGATTAATTATTCGCTCTAAGGATCATCAGTATCTTTCAACTTGTTCTCAGAGAAAGACCAAGCTTTCTTCAGTGGCTACAGTCACAAACTTCCCAATTTGCTGTTTGTTGAGCTCCAAGTCGGGAATAAAACTCCTGAAGGTTTCTTTGAGTTTATTAATGGGTACTTCCCAGATGAAGTTCAAAACCGTAAATGGTCCAGCATAGTATCTCCTAAGTTATTGTCAATTACTTCATCCATAGATGCAATACTTAAAGTAAGTGCCAATGTCAAAGGAGCTTTGGAAATAAGCAACTTCAGCATGGATCAAGCTCAACTTAATAGACTCAAAGATCAGTGTAAAGCAGAAAATAAGCCAATATTTACATCATGCATGTCTTCAATTAGAGACACTCAAAACCTATTCAAAAATTCTGAAAGAATTAAAAGATAGACTTATCATTTAACGACAACCACTATGTTGATGTATCTATTGAACCAGCTGAAGACTCTCCTATACTCCCATTCAACGACATTCTTGAAGCTTGCAAAGATCCATAAAATTCTTAAAATCATTTCTCAATAAGAGCATAGGATAAAGGGGTTTTGGGGTTTTGGGGTTTTGGGGTTTTGGGG